TTAAGGCTTTCAATGTTTAAAGACTGCTCCTGCTAGAAGATCAAGCATTCTGAGTCTGGGTTTCAGGAGCTGCTGTAGATACAGGACAACATCATAACTTGTATTAGAGGAGATGCTATAGGCCTATTGTCTATAGGTTAGACAGTCACTTGTCTGAGATGGTATAGGTTCTCCTACTTGAGCAAGGGGCTGGACTAGAAGACCTCCAAGGTCCCATTCTATTCTATTCTATTCTATTCTATTCTATTCTATTCTATTCTATTCTATTCTATTCTTGGGGGAGAGTTAAGCCAAGCAGGATGGAGAATGTAGAAATGTCCAGGATGCCTGGAGCTAACTTGGGAGAAACAGAGTTGCTGAATTTAAGATTTACTTTTGCTGAAGCAAAACCCAAGTCTTAACTAACAAATAGTATTCAGTTTAAAAATTAGGGGTATTATTCTGCCATGATTTATCATAATTCTACAGCATGGTTCCAGTATTGATCGCTGGTTACATTGTAGGAGATTATTTTAGACACTGTCATTAGCCTTAGACAGTGAGAAAGTGGCAATCCTTTCTTAGATTCAATAGCATAAAAGGGAATTGTTGCCCCTGAGAGATAGAGCTGTTCAGATTTTGGTTAAGGATCTTTCTCTGCTTTCTCTTGAGATTCAACCTGAGGATATCTTCATGTTGGTGCTCTTTGAGTTTTGACCCTTTCATAAATGATGATTTTTTTAGCTTTGTCTAAAAAAATGCAGTTATTAAATAGCACCTCTTGAAAACAGCTAACTTCACCTTGATGCTGAAGTGCATGGTTTTTTTGTTTTGTTTTGTTTAGCCAACCTCTTCATGATTGACTGATACCTCTTCAGTCAATCAGCCAATCCATCAATGCCATAGTTAGTTCGTTTTACTTATTTAGCTTTGTCTCTTGTGTGTTTCTGAAACCTCACAGCAATTATTAAACCATACATCATCTAGGTGTAGAGTAGAGAAATTCAACTCAGTGGATGCACCTCTGTTTTGCCAAGACACATTCCAGAAAGGCAAAGAGACAGACAGCAAGTAAGCTTAACTGAAATCTTGTTGGGCATTAGATGCTGCCATATGTTCCAGCCTTAATTATGCCGGAAAAATCTGTAGTTTCTTTTATCCACTTGCCTAATAAATCATTGTTTTTGTTTGCACAACAGACCGAAACACAAATTAACCAGCTATTGCTGGCAAACTCAGCCTGAGCACTCTGTGCTTGTTATCTAAATCTTTAAAAATGGGATAATTTAATTAGATGATGATAATAATAATAAATAATAAAAGTTAGATAATGATGGGTTAGTGTGTTGGTAAACGCAGCTCGCAGTTCTATTTTGAGTTTTGGAATGATTTCTTTTTGGGGGCTGTTATTATTGGTTGCCTAAAGATGTTCATTGCTGCTATTTCAGTTTCTGTTTCTTGAGATGGTGATCATTTGGAGTGTGAAGTCTGGATGTCACTTGCTCTGTATGTAAATGAAAACTAAGCTGCAGTTTTAGAGTTTCAGCTCAAATTTTAAAGAGGGCCAAGTATTTATATGGGTGTCGAACGATTCTGTTGACTTGTCTTTATAGCAGTGGTTGTTGATCACCGTCATCATTATTTGCCAAAACACTCTTGAAGCAAAACTATTTTGACACACAGTGTTTTTCTGGTGGCGACAGCATAAATTGTTCTCCAGGGGAGACATTTTCTCCTAAGGCTGCCCCTGGCTCCCAAGAAACGGTGAGAGTGGAAACTGCATTACCCAAAGAAACAAACAACAATTATATCTTTTAATTGTACGTCTGGCTTCTGCCTCTTGTTTTAAATTGCTTTCCTTTAGTGGATTTGTGGTATTGGATTGAAAGGGGCTTAAACTGCGATTTGAGTTTGACAGTCTTAAATTAGCTGATTTTAATTGCATTGTATGGGGTTGTTTTTTTTTAGTTTATAGGCGAGCCATCTTAACAGGGCTTTTTGCCCAGAAAATTAATGCATGAATACTGATAATAATAACTCACAATAAGCAAGCAAATCAGTTTAAACTTGGACAACAGAGTTATGACTTGCAGCTCCTGTTCATTCTATTGCTGTTCTTCTGCTGAAAGTGCTTTATGAAGATGATCAGCTGTCTTCAGAAATATTGAAGAATGCGGGAAAGCAGAAATTCAAGCTTTGAACCTTTATGTGACATTAATATTGGTGTTGCATCAAAGAGTTGGATGAGATGACCTTTAAGGTGCTAAATCTATTAATCTATAACCTTGGAAAAGCTCTATTATATGATCCAGCTGATGATATAAAGTGATAGGAAGGCGGAAAGTGCTATGAATCATTCTGCTCTTTCATTTACAGTGGTCCTGTCTTGCCAAACCTAGGTCCCACCCTTCAAATACTATTTGCTTCTGTTCCCAGGCAACAAGTCTGCCCTATGGGTTATCTAGTTCTTTGACTTACACACTTTTAAGGCAATTTTCCATTTTAAATAGGACTGGGTGGGTGTTCTTAGAAACCTGAGGTCCAGGTAATTCTTTCCTTTTCAAAAATTAAAATGTTTGCACATTTTAAACAAAATGGAAATAGATGAGTGGTCTTTATTGCACGTCTACCCACTCTGCCTGCACAGAATTCTGAAATTTAGGATTTGAAATTTTCTCGCTGATATTTCATTACCCCTCTAGGTAACATCATCAGTGTGAGTAAAATAAATGAGTATATCCGTTTGTATTCCGTACAGGGACCAATTTCAAGTGATCTAATAAGAGATGCTTACAGATCTGCTGGATCATGCCTATGACAGTCTCCTCTACCCGTTATATGTTTCCTGATATGTTTCCATTTCACATCCCTGGCTCATTTCTTTGCTTGAATAAAATTTTTTGCTTAAGAAGGGATGTTGCATTCAGACAAATTTTCATTTTATTAGAACAGAGCTTGATGCGCACTGCTTTGTTGGTTAAAGCTCTTTCATTTTAAGGACAGACAAAAGAACAGTTTAATGAGAAAGAATTAAGACCTTTAAATTACCGTGCCCTCTCTCTGGAATACCAGTGGCTTCTCACCAAAAAAAACCCTTCCATTATATTTTCAAAGCCTAAATCTCCCTTGATATCAAGAGATTTGCATCTTTCTGCTCTGTAATGCATTAAGTAGCATGCAGAGAAAAAACAGGGTTTAAGATGTTTCATCATAATGATAGATGTTCCATTTCTGTGACAAACTGGCGAACAGGCTTGATCTTAGATTGTTGACCACAGAGTTATGGAACCAGAGAGCTGAGGGACTGTGAAGTATTGAATGGGGCATTGTTTGATCTAGAATTCAGAGCTCTTTAAAACTGTTGTTAATGACTTGGACTGAACAGTGGAAAGAATAGTGAGGACAATACAAAATTGGGTAGGCTAGATCAAATCTGAAGAAGCAGTTGGTTGGAATTAATTTAATTTAGGCTCTTCTGAATCTAATTTTGGATAAATTAAACTTGCAGTTTATTAAATTAAAATTGACGAGTCAAATGACCCTTTTTTGGGGGGGTTGCTATAAAATAGACTGCCTGGCAAGCTCCTGACCCTACTGATCCAGTTAAACATGAGATAGGAGCAGGACCATAGACTGTAGGTACCAAGCTTTTAACCAAGCCCAGAGTATTCATACGATAAAGGAGGTCTACAATCCCAAACCTGCATAGATTGGGATGGTCTATAAATAACTCTCTCTTTCAATGCATAGCGTCAGGGTTCTTCCTATTCATCCTTCTTTTAGGACTTTAAATGGTCTCTGTTTGTTCTGTGCTTCAACGATGGGAGAATAATTTCCCAAACTGGGTGCCCAACATTTTACAGGCCAAACACTGCCCTTGAGAGGGATGCTAAGTGATATAGTTAAAAAAAAAAAAGTAGCCCAGGACAAAATTTGAGTTCATTTAATTAACCTTTATATTGAGTTGAAAATGCTTCAGTATAGTTCATATAACGCAATAATATGCCAGGTGTGAAGAATCAGGAGGACCACGGATTAAGTTCCAGTTAAGCTAATTTATTGCACATTCTATATGCAAGAATTTAGTCAACGGTCAGCACTAAATTGGCGCTATATAAGAGTAATCGGAATTCAAGAGGGATTGTGGGAACATAATGACTCCAGGCTGATTCCTCTTTTGACTCTGCCCCCAGTTCTGCCTGTCCTTCTTCTACAGTACATGTCCTACTCCTGTGGTGGCGAACCTATGGCACG